GTTAAGTGGTTAAGTTAGGCTGATGTGACGCTACTTGGTTCATTGGCTTCTTCCATTTTATTAAGTGGTTAAGTTAGGCCGATGTGACGCTACTTGGTTCTTTGGCTTCTTCCATTTTGTTAAGTGGTTAAGTTAGGTCGATGCGACTCTACTTGGTTCGTTGGCTTCTTCCGTTTTGTTAAGTGGTTAGGTTAGGCCGGTGCGATGTTACTTAGTTGGTCAGTAGAAGCGATAATAGAGGATCCAACGATGTTTGATCAATGTAAGTAGAAGAGGCAACAATACTTAGAAAATGAATTTCATTACCTAAAAGAAAGAGGCCAAAGCCGTTACAAGAAAAGAAAGAAAAAACTAAGGATCTACATTAATAATGGGTCCCGCTCCTACCTCCTCCTGGGGGGCCTCCTTCTCTTCCTCCACTGCCTCCTCGGCCACTGGCCTACCCCGGTGGGGCCACCGAACTCCTCTTCTATGAAGCCAATATCCAACTCTAGATGTCTTGCGTAGGCGAGACATCATGTCCTGGGCAGCCCAGGAAGCCCTGTAGTTGGCGAAGTCATCGTACTCAGGCGTCTTGTCGAAGTTTGCCTTATAGTCCTCAACTGCTGCATCCCCAGCTATCTTCACTTCGGCCCTCAGCAAATCAATCTCTTCTGCTTGAGCCTCGGATAACATTCTCAGTTAGGCTTTTTGTTTCGCCAGAGCGTCTGAGGCAATTCTCTGATGGTCATTGGCCTGGTCGACCTTTTTAGTCAGAGCCACCACTTGAGAGACGGACTCATGAAGCTCGTTTTTCAACTGATTGACTCAAATTTTAGCCGTGTCCAACTTCGTGGTGGCAGTTATCCATTTCTCCTCCACCTCTTCGACCTCCTTCTTGGCCTTGGCCACCTCGGCCTCCCAGGTTTCTGAGGCTTTCAACTTGTCCTCCAAGTCTTCATTTTTCTTGCGGAGGCCTCTGACCAAATCCTCCGCCGCAGTGCCCATACTTAGGGCCCTGGCCACACAAGCATTATTGGCCGCAGCAAGTCCTCGATATCGTACGATGATTAGCCCAATTTTCAATCCAATATTTGCTGTGGACTCTGACAGCTGAGGCGGTCTCTGGGGGAAGCATCTCTAGCACGGCTTCAAAAAGATCGTCATCCTTGCTCCCCAGGAAGTCCGGAACTTTTCCCTTCGCCGAAACACTGGCAGGTCGCTTCTGCCTCTTCTTGGTCATCCACAATGGCCTGGGGAATTATAGAGGGTACTGCCACTGCCACTCCAGCAGCGGACAAGAGAGGAGGGATCACGGCAAACGGAGTAGAAGCCCCTACTGGGCCAGCCGTTTTCCTTTTTAAGAGGGGAGCTCCTTCTTCCGTCTCTCCTTCCTCAGCCGGCTTCTAAGCCTAGCTGAGGGATTGCAGCCATTTAGACTACTTCTTGTAAGCAACTTAACTTGCCTTCAATAGCTTCGCCTCCACAACTGACTTACGGATCGAAGTCAGGCCTCAACACCTTCATCTTCTCAAAGTCTCCTACAAACAAGGCAAATAGCTAAGTATTTTCGGACAAGCAAGAGCATAAACAGAAGCGAAGCGAAATCTTCACCTTGATTCGACATTAATCCGTGGAGTACGAAGTGGGTGTTTTTGTCAATAATCTCTTTAAAGCCTCTCTTCGTCGGAGGCGTCTAATAGATCTCACTTCTTATATCCCACTCCTCCTCGGATATTTTACACCTCGGAAGAGAGCATGCAAACAAAATATATTAAAACAATAAGCAAGGATGTACAAGTGAAATCAACTCAGGAAAGAGACTTACTGTAAGTTGAGTATGAAGTGGAAACAGTAAGAAGCGCCATGGGGTCGCCCTCCATGGAGTCCCATCTCCCAGCTACCCTGAACCAGGAGCTCCTCCAGCCATTGACGGAGGTGGGCAGCCCGGTTATGAATGGAGCATGGGATCCCCAGGGTGCCAAGTAGTACCAGCACCTAGTCTCATCCCCTATGCAATTCGACAAAAATATGGAGTGGAAAACACTGAAAGGCATATCTACCCCCAGGCTGACCCGACGCCAGAGTATCCACGAGCCCACCATATGGGACCAAGAGTTCGGATTGAACTGGGTCGGGGCCAACCCGTAGGAATGAAGTACTAGTCTAAAGAAAGGGTGGATGGGGAGTCTAAGGCCTGCCTTAAGAAGGTTTTCACTCACGGCAACACATCCCGGCCTCGGGTAGCAGGCCCTCTCGTGGGGCTCGGGTATGATTAGCTCTATACTATCGGGATCCTAAAAACAACCATGGACTTCTCCAACACCTCCCTAGTAATTTTTGAGGGGTAGTTCGAAGCCTCCCATTGAACTGAGGTGTCTATAGAGGAGGCGGGCGTCTCCAAATGTTCTCCCCGGCCCTACACAACTCATCCGAAGACACTAGTGTGGGTCCGTTAAAGCAGAACTCCCCTTCCCTCTCCTCTCCTCCCTCCTAGAAGCGCTAACAGATTGTTCACTCGCCATCCCAAGGATTTTTAAAGTTTTGAGTAGAATCTAGAGGAGGGGACGAAGAAACTGAAAATGGGGAGTATTACCTAAGTTCGTCGAAAAGTATCCTTTGCCTGCCGGAACTTGCAGAGAAATCGTCGGAGTTGATGACGAAGCTCGTCGGAAAATGCAAGAAAACGGAATGTAAAGATTCTCTTGAGAGCAATATAGAAATTTTCGCGAAAGTAAAAGCTTGGAAATGAAGAGAATGAGCCTTTTATAGGCGTTTCAAATTCGCCCCAGTCGTTGGATCATCCAAATCACATCTAGACCGTCCAAAGAGAGAGCACATGGATCTCCATCAAACCCAAGGGTCATTTGAATTAACGGCCTTGATGAAGCGGTGAGCTACACGCGCCATCCAAACACGTTGCGTTGAGGAACGAACGCCGTCGCCATCATTACCATTTATGGCAATAGAGGCTTGTCTTGGAAGTAAGCAAGCACCCTCTCCATGATTACCTTGGGAAGACATGAAAGCCTTCAAATCATTGACACAAAATCCAAGAATTCTCCTCCAGAGCCCATCACTCCGCTCGCCTGCCGCTTCGGCCACAACAGCTTCGCGTTGCAATAGTTCTCCACAGAGTTGTCAACTCATATCACTTCGGCCAGAGTAGAATCCGATGTTGCAACAACTCCCCCTAGAGTTGCCAACTCTTATTGCTTTGGCCACAATAGCTTCGTATTGCAACAGCTCTCCACAGAGTTGCTAGCCCATATCACCTCGATCAGAGCAGACTCTAATGTCGTGCCAACTCCCTACAGAATCCCCAGTTGAACCTATAGAACTGACAGCCCTTATACTATATAAATATCCATACATGGATTTGTGGACTATTGTTACGGGTCTGAGCCAGACCCGCCACCTCACCCTCCACGTGTCATTAGAGGTGACTCACACTAGCTACGCGTCGAACGAGCTGATTGCTCATGGGACGAGCTGGCTATATATGTCGAAGTGATTTCAACGGAACGAATTGAATAGGTATCAGCAAACGAACTAGACTCATCCGCAAATATATCACAGATGCAAAGGCCTACATTCCGCTTTCACAATGCTGCAACACCTCTCTCGCCACGTCTCATCAAAGATCCCTTGTATAAAGATCTTTCCAAAGTCAAACCACTGATTGATAAGACGTGTGGCAGGACCCAAACTGTCAAATCAGCTGCTTCTATTAGAAACATTCAATGCTAGCCAACCTATGGAGGGATGGATGGACACCTAGGACGGGACGAGCCCTGAGGATCTGGCAACACATGTCTCCTCATCTAACGGCTCTCCTCTTCCCATCCTTGGTATAAATACCCCCACCTTGCATCTAAAGAAGGATTGGAATCCAACACATTGTGAAATTAAGTATTTTCTTCCCTTGAATATTATCATTTTTCGATATACACTTTGTCAACCACTTCCCGACGAGTGTTCCACCGCCAGTGAACTCTTCTCCGGTTGAACTTTAAACTGACTTGACCTCCGAAGTGCTTGCGGCCGCTCCCAACCCCTTCGAGAAAGACCTCAAGTGACTGACGATGTGCCACGTGTGCAGGGAGGAGCCGACTTGAAGACATCTTCTGTTGGCCATGTGTCGGAGCCATAATTTCTAGGTCAACATAACCTACCAAAATTTTGTCGAAGATATTTTGGTGGAGTGAAGCTCGATGCGAACCTCTACATTCTAAACTGCTCTTTTCATAGAATTTGTTAAAGATGATTGATCGTGAAAGAGCTTACCTAACACAATAATTAACTTCTTTCAATCTTGAAACGTGATTAGCTACTAAACTCAACTCGACTATATATTTGCAATTAAACAATGTTATCTAACAATCCTAATCCCTAATTGTATATAAACTCATTAATGGCCAACTAGAAAAAATACAGTTGCATGAACTCCACATCCCAGAAGCAATTAATTTGCAAAATGAAATTAACCCAGAAATTTTTCTTGTGTATCTTCATTTTATTCTTCTCGCCGTCCACAATTTTCAGCACAACCAATCCTCCAAATGTTGACTCCAAGAAATCAGTGAATACCCTTGAAAACCTAGTTGAGATGTCTAAAGGAGATTCTTTAATAAACCTGACTGGGACAATTCTCGATTCAAACCCCCCTAACTGCGACGGAAGGTGTGGAACATGCTCGCCTTGCGAGCCGGTTCTGGTGCTGGCGCCGCCGCCGGAAAAACAAGTTCAATTTGACGTTGAGAAGATTCATGTAAACTACTACCCGCAAATTTGGAGGTGTGAATGCAATGGCAACATATACAATATACCCTAGTTCTCTTTGTTGGATTTTAAGAAGAAAAATATATTCTGGTTTATCTTACAATTTTAAGAATAATATCTGAAAAAAACTGCTTTTGAAATATAAGTTTTTTATGTATGAATATTTGCAGTCTCACCAATTTGAATGTTCTTCAAACTCTTGGATCGCTTCAGTTAGAATTCGTCTCCTTTTTTCCATGGCAATTATTATCAAGTAATAACATTGAGAAAATTAGGAATTTATTTGTATACAAACTTTATATAACTATGACCATGAAAGGAAAATATTCCCTGCAGAATCAAAATTAATGGAGGATTCTGTAGGCATATGCAATATTTATGGTTTTTTTTCTCAAGAACACTGTTCTAAAGTGAATGTGGAAACTAAATTTTGTTTTCATTTGTTCATTAAATTGCGTCTATAATTATCATCCGACATGAATGTCGATTCTACTTTAGATACAGTACTTTGTTTCTCTTCGCAGATTTTAAGATCGCTGCATTAATGAAAAATTACATATATGGCAAGATTAAAACAAAGAATAAATTACAATCATTGCAGAAAAATTTACATACGATGTAATCCGTCCAAATTTACATACTCAAAAAATTACGAACACATCCAAAAGGTATGTGAATTGTAATTTGACGCATCATCTTCAAATTCCTGTTTATATTATAATGTTGCAATATTCATAAAAAAAAATCGATACTTCTCAATAAAAAATCCTAATTTTTTCATGTGAGCCGCTCGTTGGTTACGATCATCGGTGGCTAATACCTTCTAGACGTTTCGAACCTGAAATTCACTCTTAATCGCTCTTTTTAGATAGAAAGAGATCGTGCCAAGAAACAACACATACCTATTAATTTGGGAACCCTTACTCAGTCCAAAACCCTTACGTACCCTTTTTTTAAAAGCAATTAAACCACTTTACTAGAAAGTATGTGATACTTTTGTTGACATCCTCTCATATTGTTGTGGGGCCCACTCAAGACCCATATGAATTTTTAAAAAAAATTCCCCCTCCCCCTCCCCCTCTCCAATTGCGAGGGGGTTGTTAGGGAGGGTGTGACAGCCCAGTATTGTTCAAGCTATTGACCATTTCGACCCATCTACAACAATGATGTCATTGTTGCAACGTTTCCCATTGACTGAGAAATCTGTTTCTGCATATTTAAAATTTCAAGTTTCAAAGTTTTTCTATATATATAGTAAACGTTCTTTCAAAATTCATTTTCAACCACACTTTTTTCAATAAAATAATATTTTATATAACATCAATAAATTTTCCTTACTTTTTAACCACATATTTCTTATCATATTACTATTTAAAATACATTCTTTTCTTAGTCTCTGTTTGAGCCACATTATATTTTTCATTCTCATTCTTCTACTCATTTTCAACCACACATTCTTCAATAAAATAATATTTGCTATCACATCAATAACATTTCCTTCTTTTTTAACCACATATTCTCCATTATATCAATAAAAAAAATGCATTCTCTCCACAAAAATGCCTACCAAACAGAGACTAATAATATCTATCAAACACACCCATATTTTGTTCTTCCTCAATATATTTTTGTTATAAATAAATAAGTTGAAGATGCAAGTTTTCCAAACAACTCTCTCCTCTATAGTGTTGTACAACTATCATTGCAATCACTATCAAATCTCTTAATTTCGAAATTATTTTTTTAATTCCTACTTTGTTTGGTAGTCACATTACACGTTTTAGAAAAAAATGCAATCTCTAGGTCTATACTTTCTTGTGCAGTTGTGCAATTTATCTAATGGCTAACTCATCATCATCTTTGTCCAACAACAAAATTGAAGTTATTTTGAAGTTTTTTCAAAAATTCGATAAAAAAAAAACCCTAGTTTCTTTACAGCCTTTAGTTAGATGAAGTAAGAGTAAAAGATCTTTTTTCCTAAACTACTTAGTATTTCATTGATCCTTGATTTCAATTATTCTATTGAAGGTAATCACTAATTGGTATGTATATGCATTGACCTTATATCTTGATGACAATGATACGACTCTGAAAAAGAAACTTATTTATGTTAAGCACGTTGCACCACATGGACTTCCTTGTCACATTGCACAATTCACACATATTTTGCAAGATTTGAATCTAAATAATAAAATATTTGGCGTATCTACTACTCGTTATATGGATATCGTGATGTTACGGTTTCACATTTATAAAATTTATAAAGATTTCATTAATAGAGAAATTTTAAAAGATTTCGATGGATTTCAAGTTTAAAAATACATATAACCAAATCTTTGAAATTTTCACCATAAGTGATGAGATTTTTATGGAATTTGTGGAAATGTATTCAAATCCACGGAATTCATTAGGATTTATAATTTTTTAAAACCTATCAATATCTTAGTTGGGAACACACCAGCAAGATTGACAATTATAGCTAACAGATCGACACGAATACCTATTTTAGAATAATTTAATCAAGTTAAATAAAAATTTATTAAATATTTTATATTGCTTGATTTAATAATATTGTCTCTAATTCATTTTTATTATACTTTTGACAAATCTAAAGTAATATTATCATAACTTTAGAAATGCACAAAAGTTAGTATAAAATGTTTAAAGCTTGTATTTCTTTTAGTTCCTTTGTAGTAAATATTTTAAATCAGTCTTAGTTTGTTCATTTTTTAAACTGGGAAATCAATATTCTCATACATATGGTTAAATGCAACACTTTGTATAAGAAGATTAAAAAATAAATAAACTTTGTAAAACTAAAAAAAAAATTATTTTTGTCTAAATGAAATAAAGAAAAAGGCAAATTAGAAAACAAATATAATTTTAAAAAATTGTCTTAATGAAATTAAGAAAAAGGCAAAAGAAGAAAATAAATATAATTTTATATGTAGAATATGAAAGGAGGACAAAATGAGAAACTTATGCTAGGATGGAAGGTTTTTGTAATCTTTAAAATTAAAGGAGTGTATTGGTAAATATCGTAAATCTCAAGGTAGTTATTTGTAATTTACTCCTTCCAAAAATATGTAAATGAATAATTTGTGATGAATTTCATTGCAAAGTAAAATTTATACTTAGTACTAGTCCAAGATTGAGGAAAGCTGATTTCACAAGTGGAAGCTAAGATTTTTGAAATAAGATGAAATGAATGCATCGATTGGCTATTGGAGATGAAAAAGGTCTCCTAAACCTTTGAAAAAGGTTCATATTTTACTGGAAGCAATTTATTTCCATTTGCCACGCAAATGAGCTAGGTTCGAGTCTCGAAATTCTTTGATCCTTTTTTAAAAAGTTTAAAAAATAAAATTCATCTATTTTTTATTTCGATAACAAAAATGACTTTTTGCATAATTTAAGTTCAAAAGACGCGGTTACAATTTTCAGGATACTTTAATACTCGTGAAGATTGATGAGAACCTCCAAGATATTTAACATGCCTTCGTCCGCGACATTTGTGAAAGATGATCCATCGAAGAGGAGTTTAAATATGAAGATACGTAAATTCGTTAAATCTTGAGACGTAACTAGCCACCGATTCTTAGCATGGTAGTTGAATGGCTCCAAAACTTGAGTCCACTCTTGATAATTACTGAGGTGTGAAACTTTAGTGGTGTACCAAAACTCTGTCAATGGATTTACCAGAAAGAGTAATGTTATTTAGCTCTATTTGGGTTACAATGTCAGTCTAGATGACGTTAATATGTGAAATTATCATTTAATTTTTCATTTCATTCAGTCTATCATCTAACGTCAACAAATCAGCGGGATTACATCTACCCAAAGTGGTTGAATAATTAATACCCCTTAGATTTACATAATCTCATAAATTATTTTCTAATAAACCTAGCCTCTATTTCTATATAAACTCATTAAGGGCAGCTAAGAGAGTATTCCAGAAGCAATTGCAAAAATGAACGGAAGCCAGAAATTTTTCTTATTTACCTTCATTTTGTTCTTCTCTCCTCCCACAATTTCCAGTAACATAAATGTTGATGAAAAGCTGAAGAACTCAATTAATAACCTAAAAAAAGCAGTGGAGAAGGCTAAAGGAGATTCAGCAAAATATATAAATGGGAAAATGCAGCTTTTGCTCGGTTCAACCCTCCCTAACTGCGAAGGAAGGTGCAAAACATGCATTCCGTGCGTGCCGGTTCTGGTGCCCCTGCCGCCGGAGAAACTAGTTCAGAACCGTCGAGACTACTATCAAGAAATTTGGAAGTGCGGATGCGGTGGCAACATATATTTACCATATTTCTGAAT